GGCTCCCACCAGCACAGACGCGCTCCAGGCAGGGCTGCTCCTTGGTACCGTGCCTAGCTTGCTACTGCCATGTTCCAAGCCAGATCCTCCTCCTTACACCCCAGGCGGGGGTCCACGGGAGCCTCTCAGTGTGGGATGAAGGCACTGACCACACCCATACCCCCATCCCCTGGGGCGTCTCTTTTGCATTATCAATGGGTCTGGCTGGCAAAGGAGGGCTCCCTGTTGGGCATCAGACTTTGCCACTCCCCCGGTCCCCAAGAGGCATATCCTGGTTCCCCACCCATAAGCTTTGTGAAAGAAGTGGTCCCACACCCTTGGCAGCTGTGCAGTGACCTTCAGGGACAAAAGTGATTCTTCCTCCCCCAGATAAAATGTCAGACTTCTTGGGTTGCCAGTGGCTGGGAGAAACCTAGTACTTGCCTTATGGTTTGTCAGATGACATTTCTCTGTGAGGGTACGTGTTGCTCAGAAGTTGCTGTTCACCCCCAATTTCCTTTTTTGCCTGAACCCCCTTCACCTTCATTCTTGGATTCCTCTAATGCATTCATGCTGTTTTCTGAGGTACCCTCTTTCCTCTCCTCCCCAAGAGGATCCTGGCAAGTTCAAGCTTTCCCAATGGCTATTCTTCCCACGCTTCCGGTCCTCCCCGAGGCTCTCTGCACCCTGGTCAGCTCTTCCCACCTGCACTGCTCACCCTCCTGGTTGCTGGATGCTTCCATCCCCTTGGAGATTTAGGTTGCCATGAGCCCTGCCATCTGACTCCCTCTTTGATGTCCCCTGCCAACCAGGAATGCAAATGGGCCACCTAGATTCTTCCCAGTAGGGAGATGGTTCCCAGATTAATCCTTCACTCAGCTACACCTTTCTCAGGTAAATGTAAGCTTTCACTTTCATCCACCCATGTTTAGAGCAGTATGGCACATGTACAAAGCCAACGAGACATCTGGTTTCAGCAGAACTAAAGCCTTCTAGATCTCAAAGTCATGAGGCAGGATGCTCTGGGAATGCCAGGACAGTTTCATATAGCAAGGAAAACACTTTTCTTAGAGTCTGAAGTAGAAGCCACCAAGTCTGTACCACTGCATGTACCAAAATGTCTCAGAACTTGAGGCACACTGGGTAACACGGAGTCGTCAGTTCTGCTGAGCCATTAATCCTCCAAAGCCACCTACGATGTGTATGTGCTGGCTCATGGGATTATTACAGACAGCTAAGTGCGGTAGGAATATTCTAAGTAGTCAGACAGGACCAGGCCCTTGAGGGAGGCAGTACAGAAGATAAGAATACATTACAGCTGTGGCCGGATGCGCATCCACTGAAAGCTAGGCCTCAAAGTAAAGATGGAATGATCAAGCCTGCATGTCCCCCGAAAGGGACAGGGAACATAGTATAATTAGCATCACCTGGTCTGATAAAGTCTAGGTAGACATCAGTCACCCAGATGAGTGATCAGAAAGGATTTCTTGACCTATTTCTTCCAAAAAAACATCCTTGTTCTTTCCATGTACACTTGCTACATGACCTGTTTCCCCATTGGATCAATAGTACCTAAGTGTCTATGCTTGTAATCTTATTGGTTGGTCATAGTTTTGTCCCACATTGTACCTACCTTGTGATTTTGTACCCACCTCGTGATTTCACTCTAAGAACTTCAGTTGAGAAGTGGGATCACTGGCAACCCACTTTTGGATCCCCTCCTATCTTTTGGGATCTATCTCTCTCAATAAGTTTTTCCCACTCTTAATCTCCATTGTTCTTTACATTTCATTCTTCGATTTTGGAGAACACAACTCAACATATCTGACATCTAACAGGTTGAGAGCTATAATAATTCCCCTATGTGAACTCAAGTCCTATATCAGGATGGGACTTGAAGATTAAGGAGGGGATGGGTGGAAATAGTTTTGGGTGAACACAGGGAAAAATACAGCAAGTTCTAAGTTTATGGATGACAACAGAATCGATCTTCTTCACCCAGGGGCAGAACACGCCGTATCTCTGCAGGAGGCAAATTGTGCTGTGACATCATCCCTCTTTGCACAAAGCACAACCATCCTGACAGCTGAGGGAAGAGGCATCCCCAGCAAGACTGAAACCCACAAGCAGCACACATTGGCAGGTCTCCATTCCCCCGCTGCCAGCCAAGCACAGGGTCGTTGTTGGCAGGAGCGGGAACAGAGGAATGTCACTTAGCCTTTCTATTGCCACCTTAAGAACCATAAAGAAATTTTTGATTTTAATCTGCATGGGAAGCCCAAACTTTAAAGAGTAAAGACACTAACTTTAATTATACATTGGTTTCTGCTCTCTTTCTAAGAGGTTATGGGAAAAAGATCAGCAAATAGTCAAACAATCAAGAGAGAAAGCCTGACTGAAATGGACTTTAGAGTTTACCTACAGGTTTTTGGTAGTCTTCAAAACACTACCGCATTCACCTCTCTTCACAGGAAGGAGATACTGGGACATGTAGCTTCCCACTGGAAGAAGTGGTTGACAGCAGATGGCCATGTCACAGGAGGGCCAGATATGACCCTAGAAACAACCTGGCCACTTGTTCTCTCTGTAGGAAGGGCGCACCTGAGCTTTGCACATTTCGATGGCAAAGCATTACAAGAGGAGTAGCATGGTGGGGTGGGTTCAGGCAGGTGGCTCTCTCAGGGGCGACAGGTGGGGCTGCATCTTTAGTACTCAGCAGTGGGGACCATCTAGAGTCACATGCACTAGTCATCTAGTGACCTCTTCAAAGTGAATACACCGCATCCAATAACTTGAGGCATGCATGGTGCTGGCGGGATGGGCCACACTATGTGAGCTAAGCATCACATAGTATCTCTGGGGAATTCAAAGTACTCCAGACAACAATCACATTTTTAAAAATGTCCACACATCAAGTCAAAAGATACACATACCACATTGCAATGAAGCCAACGAACGTCTTCAGTCTCGAACCTTATTTGCTACAGTTCATCTATTCAAGGGACCCACAGTGTGCAGGGAAAGGCTATCTGACAAGAAAGTCCATTTTGGGCACAGAGTTGGAGCTGTTTTGGAATTCAGTAAACTGTGTCACAGCTTGGTATGATGGTAGCTCGGACACTCAGGAGTAACAAAGCACTATGAACTGCACGCTGTTATGATTTCTTCCTAGTGTTCTATGAACACAGCATTGACCTCTGGAGATAAATATTTAAAGAAGCACGTGAGGCAGTCAAGAAATAGTTTGGTACTCAGGGAAGGCAAAACAAAGGAAAGATGCACACAGTAATGATTCTAAGAGGCAGAGTGCTGCTTAGATGCCCATAGGCTTCTTATGCCCATCTACAGAAGGTTTCCATATAAAGCTTCTAAATACACAAAGAACTGATTAAAAATTACACTAGTCTCATGCAAATGTATGTGTGTGAGGCAGGGTGGAGAGAAGGGCTGGACTATCCCCTCTTCCTCTCAGGGATTCTACATGCAACTTTCTGAAGGAATTTATAACCAGAAGAATGGGAGTTAGTACACATACGTGCATTTATTTGTGTGTGCCTATGAGCAAGTATGTACACATCCAAGAAAGTAATCTCACGAAACAGTGATATAATGGAACCTGTCTCCTCACTAGTGTTCTGGGATAGCTCTTATTCATTCAGCCTGAAAACTCTGGGGAAGGCAATTTATCTTCCTGCTGCTGTAGGGAATGCAGTGAGACGCACACAGCCATATGAATACATGAGCGTGTGGGTGTGTATACACACTAATCATCATGCACAGACATGGGTGAACACATACTCACACAGGGGAGGGGCCCCTCAAGTTTAATCAGGAGAGTCAAAAGCCAAGTTTGAGCTGCACGAAGGAGGAGAAAATCTGCAGTGACCACAAGGATCTGTGGAAGAGTGGAGGTGGAAGGCTGGGTTTTGCTTACATTTGGCTTCTTCTTGAGTGGGGAAGCAAGGAATACATGCTGTTTGCTTGTGGAGGCAGCCACCCGTGGTGATGCTCGGCTTTCTCAAAAACTTTTACCCTTCATTTAATCAACAGATGGATGTGTTCTGTTGTGGATTTTTCTGAGAGAGTCCTGTCGCTCTAAGAGCTGTGCTGGCTGGCACAAATGCCAGATGGCACAGGCAGCACTGGCATTCCAAAGAGCGAGATGCAACCAATTCACTTTCCCCTTCAAACTCAATTCCACAGGTAACTTTCACTGCTTTGGGCTCGGCAGATACTCCAAAGCCCTGTCCAGCATTTCCCTCCATTCCTTCCACCGTGGCCAGCCCATGGCTGTCAGTGGCAGGGAGACCAGAGGTGGTGGCAAAGTTCTTTCTGAGAAAGGCCACCCCCTTCTATCCCTGCCAGGCTGCAGAAAAAACAATTGACCCTAGGGGTGAACCCAGGGCTGTGTAGGTCTCAGAACTCAACCTCATTCTGAGAGCTCCATAACATTCAATGAAACTTTCCAAGCCTCCCCTCACCACTGTAAATTACTCCCACCAACACAGCCGTCATCGCAAGCCCCTCAGCAACTGTGTAAAGGGACCTATTTCCTGTTGAACACTCACGCAAGTTAGACCTTATTAGAGCCGAAACAGCCACCCAAGCAAGCTTCCCTTTCTCTCCCTGTCTCTTCCAACCTGGGAGTGAAAGACAGGAGGTGCCCAGAAGTTTAGAACGCCCAGGCCACAGACACACTGCCTAATTAACATACCAGGAGCTGAAAGACCTCATTTGCATTGGAGAGTTGGAATTGGATGTTGACAAGTAGGTGCAGAAAGTCGCCTTCCTCCCCTGCCCACCCAGCCCCTTCCTTCCGAAGGAAGAGAAACATGACCATTTTGTTGCGTTTGCAAAGGGAAAGCAGCAAAGGGCAGTGCCTCTCCGAGGGCACCGAGACGCGCATCGGTCAGCCCGAGTTTCCGAAGCCTGAAGCCTGCCCACGTCCCTGCCCGCTGCCTCCCGCGCCCTGGCCACTCGGCCGACTCCGCTGCAACTCCGGCGGCGCGCGCGAGTCCTACCTTGACTGAAAAAGAAGAAGCAGAGGAAGAGCAAGCCGAGCTGGAAAGGTTTCATTCCTCAGCGCGGCGAGGGGAAGCCGGCGGGGCAACTTGGTGTGCAGTTAGTTTCTCTTCCTCGGCGGCTCTCGGTGCTCAGCCTCCGCCGCGGGTCCTCTCTGGTTCGCGCCGACCATCTGCCCGTCCTGCCCTCCGTCCCTCCGGGTTGGCTTCGGGCTCTTTGTGCCTCCGGCTCTCTGCAGCCAGCCGAGACAAATCGTCTGTTTTTAGCCACCGCGGGAAGCCGGGATCCTCAGCAATGTCCCCACTCGGAGCAGATCCATTCTCTGGCTCTCGGCAGCCCAGGCACACGGCTCCCTCCGGCGGGCTCCTCCCACAGCGCGCGAGCTAGCGAGTGACGAGTGACAGAAGGGCTCCTTTCACAGAAGCTGGGGCGGGGGAGGCGGGGGGGAGGGGAAACAGGTCATAATTAAAGAGGAAACACTTGGAGAGAGGGGATCTTTGCACCGCGGAGGGTGGGGGAAAGGCTGCGTTCGCGCCTTCTTTTCCCTAAACGAGGATATTCAGCTTTTGTCACCATTATTGGCCAAAAAGCATCGTGAGCAAGAAGCAGAGCTGTGACTTTTGTCCACAAGATGTAATGTTTTCTAAGGGAGAGAAGTTACGGGTGACTATATGCGTGCACATGCGTGCACCGTGCGTGCCTTGCTCTCACACAGGGGACTGGAAGCTGGGCTGAAGGGAGCCCTACAGGGAGGGGCGGGGAGGGAGGGAGTGCGTCTTTCCCCGGCAAGGACTTGGCCAATGTGTGCAGCGAGGCTCGGGAGTTGGAGAGAGACGCATGCTTTGCATTTCTGAGACTTTCCTAGGGGGCTAGGTAATAAAACCTGAATGTTTGGATATCAGTTTGCTTGGCACTGCTCCTGGAGAGCAGGAACGAGAGGGAAAACAAGTCGGTTTGTGACACATACCCATTTATTATTATTATCCTGGTCTGTGCATTTCCTAACAAGGACAGGGAGCAGCCTGTCTGCGCTTGGAGCGGTTTCCCTAAGAAGCAAGCACTTCATCACTCTGTGCCTTTTCCCCATAAGGTGCGGGGACTCTGCTTGCGAAGGAGAGGCCAAGGTCATAGGCAACAGCCTCTCCAGAACCTTCAGGTCTTCTACCTGTCATGCAATCCACACTCGAATCAAACTCTGTTTCTTCCAGGATATCAACATGAATTTATCTAGGTCTATTTACTTGATAGACATTTAGGCATGCCTAGAATAAGCAGGCCATTGGGGAGAAATAAAATAGTAAGTGCGAGCACGCTTTCGGAAGCTCCTAATCTAGAGTGGAAGAGGGTGTACACACAAGACACAAACTCTACAGCTATTACAAAGCAGCATATAAAAATATGGGCCGTTTATGCGGAGGGGGGGGCGAAGGGGTGGGGGCGAGAAGGAAAGATGCTCTTGACTCAGGCCACTCAACATTCAATTATAAAATCAATCATTGCTTCCGCAGTCCCTGGACCTTCTGGAGGTCTTATGGGAACCTCTTAGCCTTTTCTCCTTGGCTTTCACAGAGAGGGGTACTTTCCTGAGTGCACAGCTCATTCGGACTCTGACTTTGAAAGTGGATGTTAACTTTTAAAAGTCGCCCCTTGGTATTTAGGAACAAGAAAGAAGAAGAAGCACTTTGTTAAAGGGTGCGCTGGTAGGAGCAGACACCTGGTAGCTGACATCAAAGATCTACAAATTAGGAGGTGTCTGCTTTGTTGACTCTTCTATTCTTAACTTAATAGTTTATTTAACTGCATCCCTTAGAGGCTGTTAAACATATCAAAGGGAAATTTGTAAGCAAGCTTGGGAGTGGGAGTGGGGGGAGCTGCTGAGCCAGAGAAAGTAAGAAAACACCAAAGAGGCAACCCATCAGCTAAAAGAACAAACCAGGTACGGAAGCAATGTGTCAGCATTGCCTTAGTCCATTATGCAATGACACCGAAGAGGCCCATCTGTACCGTAAATAAATGTAGAAGGATTTCAAACGATATACGCCGAGTAACGCCGTAAAGGCTGAAAATACTGTATGTACAGTATTGGAAGCAAGAGGTGTAACTTTGCACTAAATCTACAGAAAAAGGGGGAAATGTAAGGTCTGGGTGTCACCCTATGGTCAAGCCTTGCAGTGACTAAAACTAATACTAGAATATAGATGGTACCAGCCCTAGCAACATTTGATGTTTTAACTAAATATTAACTAAATATTTATCCTTTAAGCGTTATTTAATTTTGACCGCTAATTCCTAAATGGCCAGGGCCCAGGTTTGTTTAACTCAGCCCAAGGGAAGTATAGGATTGTAGAACCAGGGTCACAGGTCTGGACGGCTGTGCACTACAGGGCAATGGGTCACCCATGCAGCTGTGCGCGCACCGGCTCACACACTCCTAGAAAGGAGAACAGGCTGGAGGGGCGTCGGTAGGAGTCTCAGGTGGAAGAACCTTATTTCCCTCTCCCGCTGATCTCCGAGACTGGCCTCCAGGCCCCGGAATGGTTCCGGATCCCCGCAGCCAGCTGGGCCTGTTGCCTTCCCAGCGAACACCCCCCACCTCCCCGCAGCCTCCGGTCTCCGGCAGGAAGGGAAAAAGCTTGGATTAAGTGCAGAGCTGCCCGCCTCTAAAAGGACCGGGCAGGAGGCGTTTCAACCCTGAGTGCCGGAAAACCCGCGGCAATCTTCGGCGGCCACCACGTGGGGCGGAGAACGCGAGCGGTACCTGCGGGACCCACAGCCGGCCGCGCTCTGGCGCCAGCCCCGACGGCGGCCCAGCCACCACCTCCGCCCGGGCCGCCTGTGGCCTCACCTCCTCCGGGGCTCGGCGAACCTCCTGGCGCTGCGAGGCGGCCTGCGCGCGGGGCGCTCGCGGGGCGCTCGCGGGGCGGGAGGAGGAGGCGGCGCGGAGCGCGCGGCTGCACCTGATGGAGACGCGCGGAGGCTCCTCGGCCCCCGGCGCGCGCGGCCGGGCAAGGCGACCTGCGGGAAACTTCCGCTCGGGCGGGTGGTGCGCGCGGCCCGGGGTCTCCCGGTGCCGCCGACGGAGCTGGCGGCCCCGAGGAGACGGCGGAAGACCAGCAACTCAGAAAGCCTCCCGAATTCTGGTTTTCTGCACATGCAAGCTGCAGGTCTCTGTAGCGCCCGCCGTGCAAGACAGGGTCCCTCGCCAGCAGGTGGCATCGTCTCCAGCGTTTCTTCTCCAGGCCTGGAGCCCGGAAGGTCGCCTTCCTCAGCCTGCTCACCCCTGCCCATGCTTTCAGTGCCCGGCTCTGTCCCCCTGCCCCCCTAACCCCACCCCCAGCTTGGCGAGCAGGGGTGGGATTTGGAAGAGCACAGTGGAAGTCGGAGCCCACAGAGAGCTTGCTGGCCAGGAACTTACAGAAACGCAAGGCTCCTCTGGACAGCGTCCAAGCCCTGTTCTCTGGGCTGCAAGCGTGGCCCCCATAAGTTTCCAAAATCTAGAACAGAGGAGGAGACTGGAAGTTGTGAGTGCTGTGTGGCACCTAGGAGCACTGTTCAGTGCCCAGAGCAGGTGGGTGGTCAGACAGACCTTGAGACCTTGCCTCATCTCCACTTTTCAGCGGCCTTCTCCGTGGCTGGCAGTCCAGAATCAACAGCATTTATTATTTTGCTAGTCTGTGCAAAGGCGCCTTTGGGTGCTTAAAAACATGTGGAATGAACGCATGAATTCGGGTGGTTGGAAAGTGGGTCTCCTACTTGGGGAAAGGTATATAAATATACACGAGTGGAAAAAATATAAAATGGCTTACTAATCCTAATAAGACAGAATTGCGTTGGAGGTGGTCTGTCCCCGTCTTCCTTTCCAGATGTGCCCTTCTAGGTGGGCTTGCCTGAGGCTTTGCAGTAAGCTGCAGGGCTGAGGTGCCTTACAGGGCCCTAACATTGAGTCCCATGTCTCAATGTCCGTCACCCACCCTCTGCCTTTGGGGGTGCTGGGTCTGGCTTCCTCCCACTGTCCCTGTCTGTGTGTGCCATTACCAGATGAGATAAGGAGTGCCTCTTCTGGGAGGCAGGCTGTCATCACCAGCAGAGAATTTTCTACTTTATGTCTCTTGGCAGTATTTGTTGCACAGACACATTATAAACCACATTCTCTTTTTGTTTTTCATACATCCTGCCCGTATTGGTTAAAACCTTGCCCAGAGATTTAACACATTCTGAAGAGGCCTCTGCTGGGAGTTTAGGGTAACCTGACTCTTCATTCTGGGGTAAGTTAATAAGGGCACTGACCTGCTTACACTTCCAGAGACCAAGTGGTCTTTCGAGGGCTTATCTGAGTGCAGCCTTCTGACCCGGGCTGTCTTACTCCTCCATTTCTTTCTCATTTCTCTGGACCAGATTTCTTGTTTATATTCAGTGATGGGGAACATTTTAGAGCTTCCAACAATAACAGACAACCCACTGCGGCACTTGTGCCACATGGTCATCATCACTGGCATAGGTAGATCACAAGGCTTTAAACTTTTAGCTGTGGTTGGTCTCTCTATGATGGCAGAAAAGGCAGAAAGAACTCGGTGTTTAGCATTTTAGAAACATCCCCCAAAGAGCAAGATTCATCTAAAATAAGGCACAATTCAGGGATCAGGGTGAGCCTTTGGGCCTGAGTCTGCCCTGGCCTTCGCTAACTATTATGGACATTTAATGAACCTGGACACATCGTTCCTTGTTTATAAAGTGATTGGTTTGAGCCAGTGAATCTTTGAGGGTCTTCTCACCATCTGAATTGTATTATCTATTTCTCAGAGGCCGCAGCTTTCAGCATGGAGAGATTTGGAAGAGTTTCTCCAATACCATCATGGTTAAGGCAGTGTGTTTTGATCAGCTCCTACCTCCAAAGAAAACAGCCCTACCCAATCTTGCTATCTGCTGTTCTCCTGAGTTTCACGGTTCCCTCAAACCGTTTCATTTCCATTCTACTCTGGGTGCCTTTAGTTTTTCTCCTGCTTATGCAACCTGTGTGCTTCCATTCTTTATTTTTCCCAGCACTGCACTCATATCCAGCCTGGATTCTGGGTTCTAGGATATACATATACTTCAACATGCATTCTATCATTGAGAGTTACAAACCTTTTATTAGTGAAGGAGGAGGAGGAGAAGGAGGATGCCAGAGTGGCTAAGTGGAGAAGACTTCATATAAAGGCAGTGAAGGTCTTGATGCTTTCTCCATCTTTATGTGAATCCTATTTTAATGTAAAATGTGTCTAACCATGCATCTTCTACCCTGCTACCTTGGCAGTGCCATAAAGGTAGAAAGTGTTTCTCTAGTTCCCCTGTGTTCCAGTTCCTATTCTGATAGGCAGAACACACACTAGTGAATGAACAGCTAAGCTTTACCTAGTGCCCCACATCCCATTTCCTGTTTTCTGATTCCAATTTAACTTATTCTTCACTCTGTTATTAAGCCATTGTCAAACATCTGGCATGTGCCTGCCATTGCTCTGGCTGTATTTTATGGGGCTGGGTAATGAATTGAGCCTATATATAGTTTGCAAAATGTGGAACACACTTTAAGATGCATGGCACTATAGAAATGAAAGATATTTTTATCTCTTTGGCATCATTCTGCACAATACGATTCTCTGGCAGAGCTGTTAAGAACAATAGACCTGTTTAGCCTTGACACACTCATGCATGCAGGGCACTGGGGATTCAGTTCACATGGGAGCGGCATTATCTCTCTCAGCAAAGGCCTGAAGAGTGCACACTTTGCAGGGAAGAAAAGATATGAGACATGTTATGAAAGGAGGTGGCAGGGTCCCAGTGCCTTGCCCATTGCTGGCTGAGAACTCGGGCCAGGACCTGCATCCAAGCTCTGGGGATGGCACCGGAGGCAAGATCCAGCATTCCTCTTCAGGGCTTGGAACAGGTCTAGTATCATTTCAGAGTATGCTATGCTCTTTTTATGCGTATGAATAGGCTAATTATGTGGAAAATATTGGAAGACAGTGAGATTCCATTTATATGACTCATTCGTGGTATTCAAAGTAAGAGAAATTATACTGCATTTATTCTTTTTCTCTATTATTCCTTCCCACATCTCTCCCTCACCAATTGCCCCAGCCCCCACACACTCCAGCCGTGTCATAAATTAGCAAATTTTTATGGCAGCCAAGGGAACAGCTGCATCTCATTCCAGGTCCCTGTAAGCTTTCATCCTCCACGACAAAGCTTACCTTCTCTTTTCTGTTTATTACACACCATTTCTTTATTTCTATCCTCACATAATAAAATTATGTTTCCACTTACACAGATAGAAAAGTTATAACATAAAGTTATCTAAGTTTATGCAGGTATAAAACGTTACATATGTATGTGCATAAAAGTCTTCAGTAAGCTCTGGCAATGTGCTTCCTGTTCAAATACTCCAAACTCCTCGTCCTAGACCAGGTTTCAGTCATGTCTATCTGAGTGAATACAGCTCCAACTCATTGGGCAGTCTCCAGATTAATAAGACCCCTTCTATACTCTAGCGTATATCTATCACATATGTCTCCCTGAAATTCAGGGTCTTCCCTATGCCTAACTAAAACTGTAGATGATCTCCATCTTAGTTGGATCAGGCTGCTGTGACAAAATTCCATGGATTGATGACTGAAACAACAGAAGGTTGTTGTCTCACTGCTCTGTCAGTCCAAGATCAAGGTGCCAGCATGGGCAGGTCCTGGTGAAGCTTTTCTTTGTGGACTGCAGACATCTACCTTCTCACTGCATACTCATTCAGCCTTTCCGTGGGTGGAAGGCATCACTCTCTTTATAAAACCACCGATCCTCTTGGACTTGAGCTTCTTCCTTAGTCCTAATTAAACCTCCATCACTTCTCAAATGCTCTGTTTCCAAATTCAGTCATGTTGAGGGATAAGGCGTTAACAGATAAATTTTAGGAGGACACACAATCCAATTCATAGCAGTTCCCACCATAAAGTATAGTTTTTAAATTATAATGTATAGGTTAGGTTGAAGCAGCATGCCTTTCTTCTCCACCAGCTCCTTTATAGCCCAAAGCTTAGTCTTGCCAAATTGCTTTATTGATCAGAGACAATAGTCCCTTTTGCTTTGCATATTTTCTCATAATATTTCCTCTTTCCTGCAGGCTGTCTGTCCTTCATTCACCCCTTCACCTAACAGATGGATGCCCCTTGTTGCTGCTTGGAACGCCATGGTAGTCCACTTTTTCTTAGTGCAACAGTTGTCTAAGAGAATCACATTAAAGTGTGAAAAGGTTTACTTTGGTTCAGGGTTCTGGAGTTTGTAGTCTGTGGTCAGATGGCCTCATTGTTTTGACCCATGGTGAAGTAGCACATCATAACAGGAGCTCACGACAGGACAAAAGTGTACCCTCTGAGCCAGGAAGCAAAGGACATGAAGGGGCTGGAGTCCTCCATCCCTTGCCTCTGTGACCCCTGGACCTCCAACAGCACCACCCTAGGCATGAGACCTTTAACACGGGCCTTTGGAGGCATGTACCCAAACCACAGCTAATGCTGTCCATAAAAATGTCTTTTATTTTTCCCCTGTTAGAAATGAACAGGTTTCTGTAGCATTCTTACAACCTCTTTGTTAGAGCTGTTAATATTGTAACTACTTGTCTGTCTCCCTTCTAAACTACATGTGAGATCTTCAAGGACAAGGACAATTTTTTAAAACTCTTTATTTACATGTCCCAGAGCATAGAGAGCTCACTGTGTGGCACACTGTAATTGTTTGCTAAGTGGTGATTGAAGGAAATAAGATTTAACTAAAACTCCTGGCGTCCTCCTGTGACCACCCAGGCTCAAGCTTGAAAATGTATTTGTACATCATCTGATGTTTTAGATCCAACTGGATCCAGGAAATTCATGTCTGTCTTCTGGAACTAGATGCATCTGCAGGGCTTGTGAGAAAGATTTCTGACTGTACATTTTGAGTCCAACCTGGGTGTCAGGCAAATGTGGGAAGTAGTGCCATCAATCCATATAAATCACCACCTAACTCTACCTACTGTGTTAAAAAATGTTAGAAGAAAGGCCAGTTATTTATATTACTTAACTACACAGTCCCAAACCTGCTGAGAATCTATCACACTCTATAACAATTATGCAGACATCGGTTCAAAGTAAACGAGGAAA